AAAAAAAAAAAAAAAAAATGCAGGGCTATTGGACAACGGCAATTTCGAGCTGGGCCCGAAGGCCTCGGACCTGAACAAGACCATCCTTCTCAGGCCCGACGCCATACCCAAGTGGCAGACTTCGGGCTTTGTTGAGTACATAAAAGCGGGCCAAAAGCAGGGGGACATGCTATTGATTGTCCCGGAAGGTTATGCAGCTGTTAGGCTAGGAAATGAGGCCTCAATCAAGCAAAATGTACAATTGACCAAAGGGATGTACTACTCGTTGACTTTTAGTGCGGCCCGAACTTGCGCCCAAGAGGAGAGGGTTAATGTGTCGGTAGCCCCAGATTTTGGGGTTCTCCCGATCCAGACGCTTTATAGCAGCAGTGGCTGGGACTCGTACGCTTGGGCCTTTCGGGCCGTTTATGATGTGGCTGAGATTGTTATTCATAATCCTGGTGTGGAGGAGGACCCTGCTTGCGGCCCACTTATTGATTCGGTTGCTATTCGGGCTTTGTATCCTCCAAAGCCCACTAGCGGTGAGTTTTGCTCGTTCGTTAGTACTGTTCAATTTATCTGATGTAGTTTCGTAGGGGTAAAGGTAAATGATATATATGCTTGAGACACGAAAGATTTTGGCGACGTAAATGGACCATTTTTTTTTTTTTCTTTGGCCGAACCTTTTTGTCATGAATAGCTAATTAAAAGTATGGTGTCTTTGAAGGAATTACATTTGTAGTTCACGCTGAGGGTAACAGATTTATCTGTCTGAATTTTGTGAAATAAGTAATAACATGGTAGGATATTAATAAACTTATGTAATGAATTAGGACCATACAAATTAATTAATTTAGAAAAAGAAATCGATCACTGATCTGTTCTTTGCTTGTTATACCAGTTTGAACTTGTATTTATTGGTGTCAATTTTGATCCCTGTATGGCATTTCTAATCTCATCACCTCATTTTAAAGAAGTGTACATAATTGCAAACTCCTGGACAAGCAAGTGGGCTTCACACGTGTTTCCTTAGTAGTAATTATTGCATGTGCACAATCAAATTCACAGCACCACCTCTACTTCAAACATGGGACCATAATAAATTCTGGGTTCCTACTCCTAAATTTGTCGGGCACACAAACAACCAGAAAGAAAGAAAAAAAAAATTCACATGTCAATTAATCAGTCCAAAATTTCTCCTTGACAATTTTGCCCTTACAGACAACCTTTTGAAAAACGGAGACTTTGAAGAAGGAGCCTACATCTTACCGAACACAACCTGGGGAGTCCTAATCCCACCAAACATCGAGGACGACAACTCGCCCCTGCCAGCCTGGATGGTCGAGTCCTTAAAGGCGGTGAAATACATCGACTCGGCCCACTTCACAGTCCCACACGGGCTTCGGGCCATCGAGCTGGTCGGGGGCAAGGAGAGTGCGGTGGCCCAATTGGCCCGTACAGTGGCGGGCCGAACCTACCGGCTGACGTTTGCAGTTGGGGACGCCAGCAATGCGTGCCAAGGGTCGATGGTGGTGGAGGCCTTTGCTGGCCGAGACACTGTGAAGGTACCGTACGAGTCGAGGGGCAAAGGAGGGTACAAACGGGCCGTGCTGCAGTTTGTGGCCCCCACGAACCGGACTCGGGTCATGTTCCTCAGCACTTACTACCATATGAGGAGTGATGACCTGGCGTCGCTGTGTGGGCCCGTGGTGGATGATGTGAGGCTGTTGAGCGTTCGTAGGCCAAGGCGGATGGCGTGAAGGTGGTGAAAAGAGAGTTGTGATGAGCTGTTGGAGTTTGCTCGGTGCTGCTGCTTTTGCGTATACTCTCGGTTATATCAAATTAATTATGTTGTGATCGATAGTATATGTAGAGACAAGTGTGTGGTTTTTAGTTTCCAGTGGAGTCTCGTTCTCATTTTGTTGAGAGACTCATAAATGGCACGATTAATATATATCCATAGGCTTCTGTTGTCACCTCGTTTGTTTTCACATAACAGATTATATTGATGAAAGGACAAATTATTAACCAATAAGTACACAAACTTAGCTCTAAATTAAATTCCTACATTGGCCTAGGGTGATTTTTTAAATTATTTTATTAAGGGATAATTAATTGCGTCTTTTGTTAATTGCATGAAGCTCTGTTGTCCATGTAACAAACCAGAAAGAAAGTCTCACAAGCTGAAAACAATTGATTAATTTGTATCTTCGAAAAGTTATATTGCCAAATTGTGAAGTTGTATCTTCACTAAGCCACCATTTGAACCACCGAGCCCCAGCACACCAGGGCACCGTCAGCGAGTCTTTCCGTCAACCGACGACTTTATCTGCCAAATTTCTCGATAAACCTTTCGGCGACTGTTTTCTGACCACTATTGACATTTTTCGGCTGAAATCGTCACTTCCAATCTTCCAGGATCGTTTTGAGTCATTCTTGTAATCAGAAACCTACATCCATTTTTCTTGGATTTTTCATAATATGTGAAAACTTCAGCCGTGTGTTGGTGATTTGTTTTTTCCTTTCAATATGTTTTGAAGGTTGTTGATTCAGAATAAATTCTTCATTTTGTACACAAAAGAAGTTTGGGATTTCTCACAAAATATTTTCATTTTAATCTCAAAAGAGTTCGAAGCTCAGGTACTACATATAAGCATGGCGATAGCTCATGCTTTACATGTGACAGAATCCACCAACCATAAATCGACACATAGCTGAGGGAAAATAAAAGAAATGAAAATAAAAATAGACCAAAAACGCAATAACAACTCTTTAAGTAAAGAGTGACGTTTTGGCAAAACAGAAAATAAAACATCATCATCCTCTTCTCAACACGCCCCCCTCAAGCGGGAAAGGGGTCTAACGAGCACATTCCTAGCTTGCCAAGAAAACGCCGAAATAAGGGACCCCCGAGAGGCTTAGTAAACATGTCCGCCGGCTGCAAGTGACCAGGGATATGCCGGGGCAGGATAAAACCGGCCTTGAACTGATTGCGCACCACATGACAATCAATGTCGAGGTGTTTAGTTCGCTCATGAAAGACGGGGTTAGCTGTGATGTGAAGGGCCGCACGATTATCGCACCAAAGAGAAATAGGACGAGCGAGCGTTACTCCCAGATCAGCCGCAAGGTAAGAAATCCATTGCAGCTCACACACCGTTGAGGCCATTGAACGATACTCTGCCTCAGCCGAGGAGCGGGAAACCGTTTTCTGCTTCTTAGTTTTCCACGAGATCAATGCATCACCCAGAAAAATGCAAAAACCGGTAAGGGAACGTCTGGTGAGAAGGCAGCTGCCCCAGTCAGCATCACAAAAAGCTTCAAGGTTCTGAGATGTATGTGCTTTGTAATGCAATCCCAAAGAAGGACAACCTTTAAGATATTTGACAACATGAACAGCAGCTGCCCAATGAGCTTGAGTAGGTGAGTGAACATATTGACTTAACTGTTGAATGGCATAGGAGACATCTGGCCTTGCAAGATTGAGATAAAGTAATCTCCCAACAAGCCTCCTATATGCCTCTGTATCATGAAATGGTGGAGAACTTTGGTTGGACAAGTTAAGACCCAAAGGAAGTGGTGTCAGCACCTGTTTAGAATCTTCTAATTTAAGATCAGCAATAATATCCATGATGTATTTGCGCTGACTGAGAGAAGTGCCTGTAACATTCCTATGAATTTCAAGTCCCAAAAAACACTTGGCAGGGCCCAAGTCTTTGATAGTAAAGAGACCATGAAGATAGGTTTTGAGCTCAACAATGTCAGTCAAAGAAGAACCTGCAATGAGCACATCATCAACATAAATGAGAAGTGCAAGAAACTTCACCCCTGTGCGCTTAATGAAAAGGCAGTGATCATGAGTGGACTGTTGAAACCCAAATGCCAGAAGTTTGTCTGAAAATTCAATATTCCATTGCCTCGATGCCTGCTTCAAACCATATAAACTCCTCCTCAGTAGGCAAACTTCATCTTTTCTAGCTTTAGTGTAACCTTTTGGAGGTTGCATGTACACTTCTTCGTCTAAAAACCCATGCAAAAAGGCATTGTTGATATCAATGTGATGTAGTTCCAGCCCCTTTTGTGTGGCCAAGGCAATGAGTAGCCTCACAGAAACCAGCTTAGCCACAGGTGAAAAGCTATCAAAAAAATCTATGCCCTCTTTTTGGAGATATCCCTTTGCAACCAACCTAGCTTTGAACTTATCAACACTGCCATCTGGATTCCTTTTGATTTTGTAAACCCATTTGGAACCTATTGCTCTTTTCCCAGCTGGTAGTTTAGTCAATTCCCAGGTTTCATTTAACTCCAAAGCCTGCAACTCCTTGTTCATTGCATCAATCCACCTTTCATCCTTGAGTGCTTGTTCATAGAACATAGGTTCAGTGTTTTCCTTATCAACTTCAGTGAAAAATAATTTTACGCTGGGGTTTTTTTCACCACTAGGAACTATGTTAACCACATAATCAGACCACCAACAAGGATGTTTTCTAACTCTTTTCCCTTCAACAGGTTGAGAAGCAGCAGCAGGAGACTCTTTTGTGAATTCTGTGGTGACTTCTTCATCAGATTCAGTTTCATAAGTCATGTCCTTAATCACTGGTAAAGGAGTATTGTATTGTTGTTGTACACTACCATGGAATGGAAATTCCTTCTCATAGAAAATCACATCCCTTGAAGTAAACACTACTTTCTTTTCAAGATCATAAACCCTGTACCCCTTTACTCCTGTCACATAACCCAAAAATGCACAAGCTGTAGCTCTAGAGTCAAATTTTCTTCTGTGTGGCTCTAGCTTTGAGGCATAGCATAGACATCCAAATACTCTGAACCTCTCAAAAGGAGGTTGACCACCATAGAGCAGTTGATAGGGACTTCTCCATCCAAGTTTTTCACTTGGCAAACAGTTAATAATCTGCACTGCTGCTAATAAACTGTAAGGCCACAACTTCTTTTCCAACTTTGCCTGAAAAGAGATAGATCTAGCAACCTCAAGAATGGACCTATGCTTCCTCTCCACTACTCCATTTTGCTGTGGAGTATATGGACAAGATTTTTGATGTAGAATGCCATTCTCCTTTAGCAACATGTCCATTTCTTTGTTCACAAACTCAGACCCATTATCTGTCCTTATTTGTTTTACCTCAGTTCCAAATTGCACTTGTGTCATCTTTAGAAAAAACTTTATGTGATTGAAAGTCTCTGATTTATTTTTCATAAGGAATATCCAGGTACCCCTTGTGAAGTCATCCACTATGGTGAGCATATAAGCTGTGTTAGTCAAAGAATCTTCATGGTGAGGACCCCAGACATCTATGTGGACTAACTCAAATTTGTCAAGTGCCTTAATCTCACTGGTAGTAAATGGTAGCCTGCATTGCTTACCCTTATGACACACATCACAAGTTTGAAGTTTCTCCTGCAAGCATCCAGATCTGAGAAAGTCTATATGTTTCATGCAAGAAAGAGAGGTGTGACCCAATCTTCTATGCCAAAGGTCTATATCATTCAAATTCTTTAACTGTCCATTTGCTGCATTGGCAAAGTATTTTATATCCTCCAGCACATACAAGCCACACAATGCTTTTCCAACTGCAAGGATTTTATTTCTTACAGGATCAATCAACCTGCATTCTTCATTTGTGAATTCAAATTTCAGCCCAAAGTCCTTAACTAACTGTCCTACTGACAGTAAGTTATATTTAAAGTTTGGAATCAACAACACATCCCTCAGCAGTAAAATATCATTTAATTTCACCTCACATGTTTTAGACACTTCAATTCTGGAACCATCTGGCAAATTAACAATGATAGGCAATGTAGTGCATGAGGAATTACTAGCCATATCATCATCTGAGCAGATGTGTCTACTTGCTCCTGTGTCAACAATCCAGCTTCCTTTCTCCAGCTTGTTCAAAAGAGTGAAGGCATAATCTTCCACATGATCTGAGTATTCAACAAAATGAGAAAAGGAATTCTCACCTCCTTGCCTTTTAGAAAGGTACTTATCAACCTCCTTCTGAATGATAGAGCTTATATCTGTCATGGAGTCACTTTGCTGTGATTTCACCTCTGAGTCCCCACTCTTGTTTACTTCATCACTATCTGCTATATTTGCAGATTCACCTCTTCTTTGCCCTTTCAACTCTTTGTACCAGTCTGGATATCCATTTATCTTAAAACAGCCTTGAATCTCATGGCCATTATAACCACAATGTGTGCAAAACAACTTGGCTCTTTCTTCTTTAGTGAGCCTGTAGTTCCCTCTCCCTCTGCCTGCATTGGTAAAATTTTGTCCACCAGAACCTCGCCCACCATTTCCTCTACCCATAGCAGCAAATCTTACATCACCTCCTCTACCATAATTTCCTTTTGCCATCATAGCAGAGGTTTCCAAATGATCTGAACCTCCAAAACCTGTGTATCTTTGTTTTTCCACCTTCAATATCATAGAATAAGCTTTATTTATGGTAGGCAACGGTTCCATAAGAAGGATCTGATTTTTGACTGGTTCAAATACTTCATTTAGACCCATAAGAAATTGCATCAGCTTGATTTCCATGTCATTTTCAGCAAATTTCTTCCCAGATCCACATACACATTCTGGTAAAGACACTAAACAAGCATATTCATCCCACAAACATTTGAGCTTTGTGTAGTACACAGTTACTGAAGATGTACCTTGAGAGTAATTAGCGATTTCCTTTTGTAATTGATACCTCAAAGGACCATTACTCTCCCCATATCTCTCAGCAAGTTCATCCCACAGATCCTTTGAGTTTCTCACGTACATAAAAGCCTCAACAATATCCTTCGAAATTGAATTAAGAATCCAAGAGGTTACCATTGACTCTACCTTTTGATACTGCTCGTATTCTTCTGTGTTTTGTTCTGGAACTTCGACAGTGCCATTTATAAATCCAAGCTTGGATTTAGCTCCTAATGCTAGCTTCATAGCTCGACTCCAGTGAAGGTAATTCGCACCATGTAGTTGACTGGTAACTAGAACCATTCCAGGATGGTCAGATCCATGGAGGGAAAGAGGATCGATGTCCCGTG